TTCACCGTTCAGAGTCAACGTTATATTGGTGATATTTATATGGTTGAATTGCGTTGGATCATTGTTGATCGCGTGTAATCGCGATCTTTTTGGAAACATACAATCACATAGCGAGGGCTTTCGAGAAACGAAGAAGTCTTGACGGCCCATATTTCATTTTTTGCACCTTGTGTGAGAGCAGGCAGCATATGGAGTTTCCATTTTCTGAACGGTATAAGAATTGGAGTGTCGGCTTGGATAGCTTTCAAAAGTTGCAATTTGATTTGATCATGAGGGAAGATTCGTTTGACTTTCAGTTCGATATTTTCAATGTTCAGCTTAATTTTCGTCTTTGATGCTACTGTACCAGCAGTCTCATCTATTTTGAAACAGTTGCTATCATCTCCAGCTCATACTAATCGGATGGTGTGTTTACCATAGGAAACACATTGATAATCATTAGTCCGTCTTTTAAAAATCGCAAGTATTCGTTGACCATTAATTGTGGAGTGAAGTGGGTGTTATTTTCTTCCAATTTCCGGTAAGTTGTAAAACAAATAAGAAATTCCTATTCGTTTGTTGTATCTGTAAAGTATGGATCTCCACTGAGTTAGTACTAAGGCAAACTACGCGATTCCTAAAAACCTCACACTTTTTTTTGGAAAATAACTTTTAACAGATTTCAATTTACGCAGCAAAGTATCCACGGTTATAACAAAATCTTCCAAGTAGTTGTCGATATACATGGCGTTAAAATCGAGAAATGATAATTTCTCTCATAATTTTCAAGCCAGAGTGATGGTAGGATATCTTTATTTTAAATCATATCTGTATGGTTTCTGTAATAGAGCATTTATCAACTATACTCGATGAACCGAATGAATCAAAAATAATTGAATTCGACCTTATAATATAGGTTCGTAAACCGTTTCTTTTTCATTCCGGAAAAGGGATGTCATATACAGGGTGGCTTATCGAAAACGTATTGCAAGGCATTACAGGTTGGAAAATATTTAAAAAAAATGCTTTGGAGTACGTTTCTGATGGGTATCAGTCAATTGTATTCTAAATTCGTGACATAATTTACGAATTCAACTGAACGTCAGTTGTTCAGAAATATCGATAATTTTTTTTTCATATATGGCAACTTTTTGAAGGATGATATACCGGGTGACAACGAAATTATTGGACAAGGTGCCATTCAATTGTTTATGAAGTAAAAAAATTGAATTCCGGTATTGAAGTATAGTTCTTCGAAGCCGATATTTTCAATAATAAAACTCTTGAAAATATATACAGGGTTAACCGGAAATGAAACCAAGTCAAGAATTTTAAATAGAAACCTGTATATATTTTTTCAAGTGGTAATTTCTATTCAGAATGGCGGCGTAGGAGCCATATTCTCAAAATTTAATATGGTAGTGCTATAACGTGATCTATACAAATATTATGAAAGAACTTGATGTATAGAGAAATTAAGGACAAAGTTTTCTTAGTTTTTAAATAATACTTTTCACTAACTCATGTAATATTTATTAATTTTGTTTAATGCTATTTATCATTTACCTCGTATATCGAAAAAGGAAATTTTTTGAGCATTGACATCGAAGTTTACCTCTTATAGATACTACAAAAAAATGTCAAAAATAGTAAGTTGTTCATTTTTATGTCCCAGTAAAAAAGTGAAAGTGTCAAAGCTTTTCATTGGCACTGAAAAAATAACAGAATAGTATCTTCGACAATTTTTTGTAGTGTACCAGTACACACGATTTCGTAGATTAAAAAATAGCACTTCCTATTTAGATTTTCGGCAAGAAAGATGTGAAAAATGGCATTTTATATAACTGACCTTCTCACAGACCACTGTCGTCTGAATCACCATATGCAGAGACTCGGATTGTCGGAAGACATTGTGTGTCGTTTCTGTACGAAAAATGATGAAACAGCAGTGCACATACTTTGTGCCTGCCCACTGTGGAACGAATCAGGTTTTCAGAGTTTGGCAGAGTCTCACTCTTACCATCTGACTTTAAAGATTACTCACCACATAAATTAATCGGCTTTGTTCAGAACCTAGTTCTATTTGGCCGAGTTTGAATGGGCGTGGTTCACAATAAACCCTTATGGGTTGAGGTGGAGGGTCGAATAGGCCCACTCACTTTTAACGTAACCTTAGTATATAACTGTGTACTTTATAACACATGCAGTACTATAACTCGCCTGACGTAGCTATTGTATAGAAAAACACCTATAGCGGTTTTGAAAATAATTGTCTAGTGAAAATCACACAAAGTGTTTTGAAATTACGTTATGGATTTCATCAATTATGAATAAGTATATAACATACGTGTTATATTTGACATGTATCATTGAATATTTATATATTGCACAAAGCATTTCCATGTAGAAAAGTCATGCCTCGAACTATTATTGTGTATTGAACTAAATATACAATTAATTATTATTTCAATAATCCTGAAGAAGGGAGTTGAATATACAGGGTGATTTTTAAGTTGGTCTTTTCTGTTAACACTGTGAAGAATGCAAGAAAATAAGACAATTTTTCAAATAAAAATATGTCCGAAAATGCTTCGTTTCCGAGATACAGGGTGTTATGTTAAAGTTATAAAAAAAATCTTTTTCATCATAACTTTCCTACCACCAGGTATTTTCACAAAATTTGGTACACATTTTAATGTAGAAGTTTTTGAAAAATTCCTACCAGTGGTGTTCGAACAGGATTTGTATTGAAATTTTTTCAAGAAAAAAATAGTACGCCACTGCTTTTTCTTGAAATCAATATTATTTTTGAAAAACTTATTTACTTTGAAGTCGATTTGATCTTTGGATATTTTTTCGTACGACTAACGGTTTTCGTTTAAAAAAATAAAAGCCATTTTGATGCATGGCAAAATCGTTAAAATCTGATTTGGTGTTTTGTATTTGAAAAATTCGTTTTTGTCTAATCTGTATTAAAGTAAGGTCAATTGTTTACATTACTACTTTGTAATAAAAGAAGCAACATTTTCAATTAGCTTGATCTGATTTGCCTTACATACAAAGCACCATATCAGATTTTAGCGATTTTGCCATGCATCAAAATGGCTTTTATTTTTTTAAACGAAAACCGTTTGTCGTACGAAAAGATATCAAGAGGCCAAATTAACTTCAAAGTAAATGAGTTTTTCAAAAATGATATTGGTTTTAAGAAAAAGCATTGGCGTACTATTTTTTCTCGAAAAAAATTCAATACAAATCCAATCGAACGCCACTGGTAGAAATTTTTCAAAAACTTTTACAATAAAAAATAAAATTTAATGGTGAAAAGAAGTGTACCAAATTTTGTGGAAATATTTGGAGCGGTAGGAAATTTATGATAAAAAATGTATTTTTTTTCTTAAAACTTCAACACCCTGTATCTCGGACATATTTTTATTTGAAAAATTTTCTTATTAAGTTAATGTCATTACCATTCAATGAGATACTTTCAAACAAGAGTGCTTGTTATGAAAGTAGATAAATACTTTGAGGCATTGCCTAAAGAGTTGAAAGAAAAACTGCATAATGAAACCTAATGAAATATAGTAAAAAAGGTAATATATTTTTCATACATTGAATAAATAAATTCAGCATTCTGAATGATGGTGGTGAAACATTCGATTTACACTCTTCGGTCTCAATAGTCTTTGTTTGGCAGGCCAGACCCCCCCCCGACAATATCATATCCATAGCCTTTATTTGGTGGATAAGTTTTGTGAATGATTTCTAAAAAAGAAAGATCCACGCTAAAAACTCGTACCACTAAATAACCAAGTATATAAATTACTGGCTGATTTCAAGGTTGTTATGCACTCGAATTTTATAGCAATGTAGGTTTTTCCGAGATTCTCTATGGTTGAAATACCCCATGTCCTACTAAAAAATTAGAAAGATGCCCCAGAACGCTGTAAGTGTGTGTATGATTTTGTATGTTCGAATTAATTAACAACATTTTCATTTCATTTTGATGTTACTGGGCCATATTCATACTTTCGGACCTTTCTAGCTGATGGTATATTGAAAATGATGATTATATTTTTAGATTGCATTGATTTTGGTGGTCTTCAGTCACCTATTGGGTATATTTTGGTATGTGAAAGTCAACCCTCGACTAGCATCCGTAAGTTACTCAATGTCGTTATGTTTTAATCTGGCATCATCGCCGGACGCTCACAAATCATAAAGCGGACGCCAGGTTGCGGAAATTCTTGAATATATTGGACGCTCAGAGGAGGGTCCATGAAGGGACGCTAAGGAATGGACAAGAAAAAAATTTGAATTATTTGTCGTTGAAAAACTGCAGAGGTATCTATGGTATAAATAAGAACATGGTATGTAGATTTGTTTAATCTTCCTCTTGAAGATGATCACTTGGTTATTGGAACACGTGTAGAGGTGTTAAAAATAACATTTTGGTGTTGGGATAGAACTGCAGTAATATTCATTACTGCACCAAAAGTTCCAAACAGTGCATCACAAGTTAAAAAATGTAATCAATTAAAATCAACAGTAGGATATAAGGGCAGCAAATAATTGTTTCTGTCATCTTGATTTTCTTTCACAGACTTTTAAATTCAGTATAACCAAAACAACAAAGATATAATTTTTGCAAAGAATATAAACTTTCATGACCGGAGGTAACTGTGTCAAAGTTATTTTCCAGGTTCATTGGCCGTGGTTTGTAGGTTTTTGTGTTAAACCATTTCGTCTACAACTGCAATAGACATCAGAAGTGATGAGGTAACAGACACATTCTCTTTACAGAAATTTTTCAGATTATTCAAGTTTCCCAGGTAGATATTAACACAAGCTTTGTCAATACAGTTTACTCTCTGACAATAAAGCTTATTTATTATTATGGAATAAGATCGTAAACCTAAACCATGTATGGGATAGTTGTTATTGATTTTCAGAAAAAATGTATTATTGTACAAGTGAATCTCTACAGAAAATATTCATTGAATAAAATCTGGTACACTTACCTTATTTTGTATGCATTTGGTATGAAACTGCTTTTTACAATTTGTGCATTTATATCCTGGCGAATAAAATGCATCCAATAAGGTGTTACAAAATAAGCACAAATCGTCCTTGGTTATCCTAGGGATTTTTTTGAAGGAATGTCCAGCTATAGTAAGAACATTTACGTCATATTTGTAATCATTCATTTTAATTGCCGGACTTGAATCTAATACACTTGGGTGATCAGGAAGAATCGCTTTGGTGGCAGGATCGCTGTTTCGCCTTCTCAAATCCAACTGTGATAAATTTTGTCTTTGTCTCTTGGGTGTCAAACTTTGTTTCGTGTCAACTTCCATTGGAATGCTTGTATCAAATTCCGGGTGAACTTTTGATTCATCAATTGTACCAAGAAATACATTTTTATCCAAACTTACACTATCGGTGACTTCTTCACCCAAGCTTTTAACATGTCCCCTTTTCGACTTTCTAGTATTCCTCATAGGGGCCTCAGGACGGCCTAGAATTTGCTCAAGTTTGTTAGGAGTTTGATCATAAGGATAAACATCGGGTCGATCATCCAAGGGAAATTTCTCACGGTTAGGTCGACGAACTGGTTGGTAGCTTCGAAGATTCTTGACCTCACCATACCTGAACATTATTCGAAAATAAAAGTGATATTATCATTTGAAAAATATATACCTGGAATCCCTTCGCACTGGAGGAGGAACCCAACTGTTGATTGCTTCACTTCTAGACAATGGTTGTTTGGTGTGATATTCTCGAGGAATTGGTTCGTGATCCCATACTAATTTATTATTAACAACAGAAGAAGCAGACTTAGTAGCTCCACTTTCAGGGAGAAAATCCCTAGTTGTACTTGTTGATGGCCACTGTTTGTCCGACATTAACGTTTCTTGCTTCAGTAATTCTCGAACCTTGAAAAAATTATCTTCAACAATTGAAAACATATTATGCTAAAATTCAAATTATGTATATTTAATGGAAGTACTAAAATGAAAAAATAAAAATGGGTGCATACCAATACTGAATTCAGCGATTAAAAAATCTACATTCACAGAAAAATAAAAGAAATACATAATTATTTAATTTTAAAACGTTTATATAAAAACTAATCATGATATAGCATAAAACGAAAATAGTATTATGAATATGAAACTCGACTAAAAGTAAATCATAATGACTTGGACTTAGGAAAGAAAAATGTAAATTAAACAACCCAAATTAAATTCAATATGAAAATGTCTTCATTTATTTTATATAAATGGCTGACTCCACTGAAGAAAGGACAACAAAATATACCTACAACGATTGGTATAAACTACATAACATTTGTGAATAAAATACATGGCAGGTTAAGAGCCTAATACAGTGTAGAATGACATAAAATGAGAACATTTAAAGACCACAGTAATTTTAAGATCTGTTCTACTGTTAAAGATTTGTTATCGCCAATGCTTCTGAATGAATAACAGTTATTGCAGAACAGTATTTTGTTTTAAATTGAAAGGGTTAAAGTTTTTGGATTGATTTTTGGGAAAGAAAGGTTTTGTCTTTCTACTTCTACATCTTTATGGAATACAAACTGAATAAAAAAAAAGTGTTTTTTGTATAATTCAGTGTTTATATATAAGTATATGTTTCGAAGGTATTTTTCTTTCATGTAATTCAGTGTTCATATGAAAGAAGCTGTTTCGAGGGGGCTTTTCTTCTTGATTGTGTCCTAAAGTTACTTTTTAGCATGATTCATACATCTTTGTCTAGAGTTAACTTCTTGAAATTGATTGCTTCCTTCCTTTCTTTGGGAGTTTCCCACATTTTTTATAAAAATGATGAATTAGGAAGCCAAAACCTTTCTTTCCCATAATTTATATGTTTTTTTCACTTTCAAATTACGATTTCTATTTTTGTATTTATTACAAATATTTCATTTTTGTGAAGTATATGAAGTATATATATGAATAAGGTATTGAGAAAGATTTTATTTGAAAAATAAATGTTTCCATACTTTTTCAAATTTTCATTTATGAATCTTATGCTTAAAATGACTTCGTTAAAATCATGATTTGAAACAAATACAGCAAGCGCCAAACGTGATGGCGAGCCCGCTCCCATGTGCACAATACAGAGGGGTATCATACCTTGTCCTCCAATGCTGTTGGCGTTCGGCATTGTTTGAACAAGTGTTGTTTCTAAAAAAATGTCATCGCCTAACAAAAAACCAGTCATCAAGAGACAGACACGTGAAATAATTTTTGAAGTGTTCAATTATTTTCAAAGTGTTAAATTCAAATACATTATCAAATGTGAAAAATAAAACATATCTCGCTACAAACATTAAATAAACTTAAAAAATAACTATTTCAACATAAATTATAAATTTTTATTTTGTATAAGGTATTTCAATAAGAATCATTTAAAGAGTTAAAAAAAAGTTTAAAAAATGTTTTTCCGTTAATCAGCTATCGCCCCCATACGAACGACAACTCTCAGAAGTTGAGAAACTTGTGCGAGCTGAGGACTAATGAGATCTTACCTTTCAATGTGTGATTCCTAACACGGAGTGGTTGAAGAAAGGGGGCAATTAATTTCTGCAAATAACGGATAAGTGAAATATTCCACCCCAAGAAAGAAACGGCCTAGAAGAGCACCATTAACTGATATTCCCGAGTATGAGTCAACATTAGACGGATTATTTACGACTTTCAAAAGACGGAAGTGTGTCGTATTACGGTAAAAAAGGTTCTAACACAAAATGAATGACGTTTTGGGATCTGTGGCTTCTGAAACATCTCTTCGTAAAATTTTAAAGAAAATATGTTTCAAATGGAAGACTGAAAATAATAGAAAAATTTTAATAGAGAAAATGGACATTTGGAGCATTGAGGAGATAAAGTATTTACAAAAAATCAATTGTTTTCGTAGCCAACAGCGAGTATTGGTGTTTTTTGATGAAACATACCTTCATAGTGGACATACATCTTCCAAGAACTGGACGGATGAATCAACCAAAGGGTTATTTAAAAATATTGTGAAGGGACCAAGACTCATTAGTGTCTATGCAGGTGACATGGGCTTTATACCTAATTGTCTGCTTATATTTAAATCAGGCACAACATCAGGGTATTATCATTCAGAAATGAATTCTGAAAATTATTGTAAATGTTTATAAGGTTAATCCCAAATTTTCCTGTGAATTTGGTAGTCGGGGAGTGTGGTAGTGGTAACATACCATAATATTCAAATTAATCCAGCCCCCAACTCTAGGAAGGCTGACGTGGTGAAGTGGCTGCACAAAAAAGGCATTATGTTCACCCCTAACATGCTCAAACCCGAATTATACGAGTTGATCAAAGTAAATGAAAAGGATCATATTAGATACAGATTTGATGATATTTTGCTTGAACACGGACATAACGTTTTGCGACTTCTACCCTACCATCCGGATTTGAATTTCATTGAACTCATTTGGGCTACTGTCAAAAACAATGTGTCCCTAAAAGAATGTAACTTTCAAGTTGGAAAATGTGAGGAAACTGGCGGACACGAATTTGATCAAATCATTTCCAAGGAATGGTAAAAGCATTGCGGACCTGTAATAGATATAGAGCGGAAATATTGGGAAAATGAAACATTCACACACGTTCAAACAGAGGTAATAAATTATAAATTTAAATGACGATAGCAGCACAAGCAGCAGTGAAGATGAAGAAAATTTTTATTCAGATAGTGACTGATTAAAGTTCATTTTTAGATAAGTGTATCATTATATAACATTTTAATGAACTGTACTACTACCTATAATACTAAATAAAATATGAAAAGAAATAAGAAAGAAGTCATGTCCCATTTGCTACCCTAATTAAAACTAATTATAGGTACAACCTGGCCGGAAAAGGGCTTATCGTAATCCAATAGTAATTTAGTTGGGAGAGTCTATACCTGCGCGATCGTTACAAAAAATTTATAGGACATTCTTCGAGAATGTCTATTCTCAAAAAAAACTGATGGATAAATGACTAGAATCAATGAAGAACCATTATTATAAATAATTTTTAATATATTGTTATTATAAAAATATTAAGCAGAATAATTTTTTCGTTACTGACATTTTTAAGAATGAAGCATATTTAGTTTGAAAAATATATATAACGTTCTTTTTGATTATTTAAGGTTACTTCTGGAAATATCACATCCCAAGTATTCCAGAAATATGCATTAATATCACTTATAAAATAATTTAAAAAAAATAATTGCTTGTTCAATTATTACCATAATTCGAGATACCTTAATCTCCTTATCGTCACTAAATGCATTTATATCATGAAAATCAAATGAAAGAGTACTTATTTAGTAATCAACTCTGACAATATAAATTGACACAATAAATATCAAAGTAGATGTTAACCATCAGATTGGATTATAGTAAAGTTGGCCTTTGGTCTACTTTAGATAAATGCTTGACCAACATTGGTGGAAAACATTTTAATCCTTAACCAAGGGATTCAACATATTTATTAGGTGACCAGATATTGTGAAACCGGCCCTAATTGAACTCTACGTTGGTTTATATTGCACAATAACTTTTTGAGGTAAACTTTTCTTTTAAGCCTTTATTACGCTTCAGCTTTGTTTATTATTCAGATGTGAACATCCAGTAGCAAACATGAGACATTCCATCAAGGAAACGTTTCTAACCAAGTGGTCTAGATAATAACAAAGGGATAAATGCACATTGGATGTATGTCCTACAATATTTGAAAAATATTGTAATTTAGGTATATAAATAAATTGTATCATTATGAACAGGAAACTCAGTAACCAATAGTTATCATTAGGAACAACAGCTTGTATAAAATATGTTTTTTCTGAAATTTATAATTTCATGAAGTTCAGAAGTATTTTTTATTACTTACAGTAACACTTGAGTGAGAGTCAGAACTTTGTTGAGACCCAAAACTTCGTTGAGAATCCAGGGAATCCCCACTACCTTTACGTAGTGGTGTGTATTCTAAATCAGAGTAGTCAAAGGTTTGGTGTGACTTTGGCAACTTTTTTCTGATAACATCATGTGGGAATTTTTCTTGCTTCATTTCATCCAACCTGTCAAATGGAGTCAAAAATAAAGAAATTACTTCATTTTCAAAAATAAATAATAAATTACTGAAAATAAAATAAATAGAAAACGATTACTATTGAAGACTTAACTTCCCAATATCGACTCTATGATGAAAATAAGAGAAATGAAGTTTCAGAGACTTAAACGGGGAAATGACCCTTCATTAAAAATTTACTTACCTATTGTTACTGGTGTTTCTCAGAAACTGGTAATAATTTGGTTGATGAGAAGAAGAGACGCTAGGCAGCGAGACCGTCGACCTCAAACTGAGTTTATGATAAGATGTATCAATATCATCTTCTAATATGCCACTGCTCCTGAAATGAAAAAAGGTAAAAACTGATATACAATTCTATGAATAATAAGTACTCGTCAGAATCCAACGTTCGTCTATCAAATGGTTCGGCAGGCATTTCCTCCATGCTGGAATCTTTGCTGATGAATGCCTCATCTGAGCTTCCATGTTTTACTTGGAGGTGGGCTGGAAGGGCGCTAATCTGGAAAATGAATTATACTAATGACAGTAAGATGAAAATTCAGATTTGGTGAGTAGCCGAAAATTTTATATTTTATTTATTACTATTTTGTTAAGACAAATGTGTTTGCTGCTTCGTTTAATGAAATAGTAATCGACGAGAAGACTTCACCTCGTTTCTTACCAAATGGCGTTTCAAACAATAGAAAAAGTTATTCAAGAAACTGCACATCACCACACTACGAATAGATCTTCTTGTTCTAGACCAGAGCTAGTCAAACTGATAGCTTTTTAAGCAACTAGCCCAACTCACCCATGTACATGCAGCTCTTTATTTAAAAAAATAAAATAAAATTAGGAATTGAAAAAAATCAGTAAGGATAGGAGTTGGTCAGTCTATTAATACCCTGGGTGGGCTTGCTTGCTGTAACGAATTGAGTTGATATTTGAAACCATTTTGGTGACACAATTGTATTTCATTTTTATGGATATTAGATATGTGAAATGGTGATGAGTAAGAGCGGAAGTTACAAGAAAATCTACCCCTTTGTGTGCGAGTTCAGGAATATCAAGGGAATATTTGTGAAGTCAGCTAATAGAAGAGTTTGGTCTGCGTACATTTCTAGCAATGAATACTGCTCTTCATGGATCAAACTTGCATTTATGTTGTAAGCATCTTTTAAGTTCGTCTGAAAGATTTGTGAAATGCTCAATTATTTCCGTTATTGTTATTATATTGTTTCCCTTATTTAGACATCCACTGATGAAACATTCATCGATGTATTATTTCAAACAAGTTTTACAGAACTCAATTTTATAATGAGAGCTTTTATCTTGTCATACACAGTTAATACACAATAATTCGAACCTTGTAAAAAATCATTCGCTTCATTTAGAACCGCGGAAATGTCGGCTGAATAGGTGTGACTTTTTTAGACCAAGTTTAATCTTCAAATCTGCACTTGAGGTTGAAGTCACTATCATGCAGAAATAAATAAATTTCATGACGAAGAACCGAGTTATTATCTTACTTTTTCATAGCCAGCTTACTTCACAGTGCAACAATAATGCTTCGGGCTAACTACCTATGTCTAGACATAATAATGAAAAAATGTCATGAATTGTGAACGTGACTTTATATAATTTGTCAATTCTACAACATCTGAAAGAGCTATTATTAAATTCTTTGGTTTCTCTGTGCAAAGTACAAATATGCTCTTAGCCACTGGTGTCACATTTTCAAACCTTAAAATGAATCCACATATTCTTTCTATTATAGCTTTGGCACCGTCTGTCGATATTCCGACACTTTTCATACAATATAGGTATGCTGAGTTCTTCAAAAAACATTAATGATGTTAAACTAATCTTCTCCTTCTTTGGAGTAGGCTCCCAAAGTCTTACATAGCAGAAGTTCTTCTTCAGTTACATATTTATATATGTATATAATAAAAATGATAGTTATATCGCTGTACGAGTTGATTTTTAACGTAGGGTTCCATATCATGAATGCGCCGTGCAAACTGTACCATTCGAAAAATGTATTTTATCCAGTAATTCGAAATGTTTTTCCCCAATAATCTTTTGCAGCTGGTAACAAAAATTCACCAGCAATATCATATGACTTCCCAGTCGTTACCATTTTATATGATACAAGGAGAGATGCACGTAAATAGGCGCAGAGTTTGTAGAGCTACTAACGAGAACTACCGAACATATCACACAGTGCGGCTTCGGATATTGACATTCCTTTTTATACGTACATCTAATTTTCAAATAATTTTCGTCATGAACGTTTTTTTTTGCCGATTTGATATGTTCTTCACAGGATTCTGCAGCTGTGTTCGAAGCTAAAATTATTTCAGAAGAACTCGCACTTTCCATTTTTTGAAAACTGGATGAGGTTTATGAGAAGTCATAAAATTATTTGAGCACTATTATTACAAATAGCGCGCAAGCCGCATGCAATACAATAATGTAACCATTAAAAAGTATAGATAGAAAAAATTCAAATGAACAAATCGGAACATAAAATATTTGGCGGAAAAAATAGTTATGGATCGACCGTTGGCGCTAGTGCTGCATTTGTTTTTGTTCTGTAGAATGAGGTGTTCTTATTAGTATTCTTATCATTTTAAAATACGAGTGTCTTCTGTGCTTCTCATGTTCATACAGAAAACTTTTTGGAGATTTATCTGAAAATGTTTACTTTTTCTGAAATTATTGTTTTGAATAGAGTCTAAAAAACTCGAATTCGAAATTTTTTTAATCATTATGTACAATTTCATCAAACATTGTGATTGCTGCAATTTTATTCAGTTGAAAAGTTTAGTTATTAAATTCTAATTACATTCATGTCATAGAAAATCTCATGAAATATAAAAATACATGTAAATCGTACTACTGAATTATTTATAAATACCTCAGCTTGAATTTTAATAACTTATCCATTAGCTTTTGTCTCTTTGATAGCATTTCTTAATCGATAGATTCGACAAACTTTTCCAATTCTAGTTGATCTTCAAAATCTTCCAAGACCATCCCCTTCTTCGTCTCCAAGATTATTTCCAATCTGCATTCGTTCTTCATCCACAATTTCATCTGAATCATTAACTTCCACGTAGGTTTTTTCTTCCATATTGGAGCAATTTTCAGAAAATTGATAATTTGAGCATAAATTTGTGCATTTTAAACTGTTACAGTGCAGTCATCACCCGAAGACGATTGTAGATACTAACAATCGAAAAATCGTTTTTTAGTTGTTTCAGGGATTTCAAATCATTTTATATATTAGACATTGGAAGTCCGAACTAGTGAAATTCATCATGAAACATTGTAAATCACCTCCAAACAAACTGTTACATCCAGTTTCACAGCTGCAGCAAATAGTTTTAAACAAATTCTTCCGGAATCGATTCCTTTTCTGTAAATTTGGGCATAATGTCATGTTGATGTTGCTTCTAGCCCAATCTGTTGCTATCAGTTTGTTACCTAACCAAGTTTGGAGCTGATAATATGCCCTGTAATAATGTTGTTCTGCTGCTCCTTCTGTGGGTGGGAGGTTTGCCAAAATGAAAGATGATTTAATTTTTGTCAATTGATATTTTTGAAATATTAATTGATTCAGTGTTATTTTTTCATTTTTACATTTATAAATACATTTGATTAATTGTAATCCATGTTTTTATATTTTCTTTACTTGCATCTTGCTTATAAAAAACATTGACCAAATTTGACAAATTTTTAAAGTCTAATAATGATTTTACGATTCCTTTCTTTCCTTTTCCAGCAAATCCAGATGTATCACAACCGAAAAAACAATGCAGAAATGCAACAATATTTTTGAAGGATTCATGTTCGAAACTATTAGACGTGAAAAATAAATTCTTTACATTTCTAGAACCTGGTTTGAGAAAATAAATGTCATGATTATTTGAATTTATTTATTTAAAAGGACCAAAAGTTCGATATCTTGACCCACAACAATGAAAGTTTTATTAGTATTTCTGGCAATTTCTCTCGAGGTCTTAATTATCTTCTTCTACTTGTTTAAAGGAAAACCCTTGTGACTGTAATCTTTTCATTAGTCTTTATTATTTTGCAAAAATGGTATTTTTGGTATTTAAAACAGCAATAAATAGGCATCTACAAATATTATTTAAAGATTCTACAACCTTCCCAATTATTTAAATATTAACTTTGTTCGGGTAATTAAAGTGTAAATTTTAATAAATAGCTTAAAATTACACATAATGATTCAAAAAAATTTTCGGATTCGAGTTTTTTCGATTTTTGCATTTTCTGAGAACATTTATTATAGTAATGTATATTTTTTCACACCGTCAGAAAGTAGAATTTTCAACGAACAAAAATTACACCGACTTTTTGAAAAAATCTGATATTTTGATGCGCGAATTTTCGATTGAAAATTAGAGTGCTTTTTTGATATTAAGGTCAAAATAAGATGAAAAGATTAATATTTTGAATCAAATGAATTATAGTGTATTTGGGACATAAAAAAGCTAAGTTTTCACCAAATTTCGTAGAATTTTTTTAAAGATAGAAATGAAAAACCAAAAACTTGGTTATTTAAATTTTTCACATAAATTTTGAGGTTATGTAAAAAAATTGCAAATACAAAAGTTGTAGATCTTTTTATTACCTACAACTTCGCCATTTAACTTTTTTCCATAGGACTTGTAATTTTGCCGGAAATAGAGATAAACAATTTTTAACTCTTAAAAAGTCACCCCCTCCCACTTCCCGAATTCAGATCGCCCGTAATTCATTTTTCTTTTAATTTTTATCATATTCCCCAACTATTATTTTTTTTCAACTTTTTACCATTTTTGAAGGCTTCATCAGTCATGGTCTATTTATTTAATGAATGAAATTATAGCGAGAAGAGGGAACTGCCGCCCGCACCCCCGCTGCCTCTATCAACTTCGATTACCAGCTAGCAAGGGCTGGCCGGCTTGATAATGATCGGCATCTATGACATAAATTTTGTCGCGAATCCCCTACCGTAAATATGCGAGCCCCTGTTTGAGTAACCCTGCTCTAGACCACTTTTAATCGGCAGACCATAAAACGAATTTTCAAATATATAAAGTGTACTGCTGAATATAGGTGATGTAATTGATTCGTTATATCATTTGTATTGCAATTGACCCTTTAATAACATCACCTCGATTATTTCAGTCATTTTACACTAATAATTTTGTGTTTTTCTTAATGGACAAAACATATTAAGTTTTGAAATTAAAAACTGTACAAACAGTTTGAATATTTTTGTATATGGCAAAATCACAAAACATAAATGAGATATAATTCATGTGCTTTCAACATAAAATGTAAATTTGAATAAATAAGACATTTATAAATGAAAAAGCTCACATATGCATGCTGTCCTGGTAATGGTGATTTAAATTTCGTTTTGAATAGGATATCCATAAGATTTTCTGAAGAAGGTATCCACTCCAATTACTTTGCATTTTCCCTCACAAAATTTATTCATTGACTTTTAAAAATCCATTGATTTTTTATCCTTGATACTCATATCACCCTTCAGACATCATTAAATTTTTCAAAATATATGATAAGTTTCAGGACATTTGTCATGAAATATTAAACAAAAACGCTCGATTTTGAAAGTGCGCATACACTCTCACTACTCTCAATTCAAAATTAATTGATATCATGATTTTACCGATTCCTACGGTCACTTTACTGATATCTGTCACTTTTTCAGCTGATTAAAATGAATAAATAACTTCAAGTTGCACCAATTTCATTCTCTATATTTTATAATATGTGTGTTATATACATGATGAAAAAAATACCTTCAAGTTTTTCAATAATAGAGACCGAACTAAACACCTCATTCTATCATCATTCAAACTTCACCAATGCCTTTACACTATTTTTCAACTAAAAAATGGTCAGGTATCTCTCGAGTGTACTTTGTTCTAAGTAAATAATTACAAGTTAGATGTCAACAAACCCGAATGATTGTTCTATAAAATTCTTCTCATTGTCAATGATGAATAAATAAGTATGAAATAATAGTGGGAAGAAGGAACGAAAATATAATTATTTGAAGGAAAAAATATTCGCATCATGTATTTTAGTTCAAGTTTACATGCGATCGATTATTTCGTTTTAACCAAAATTACTGTAATTTGATTCAATAAACGACATTTCAATGTTGTATAGTATATCTGGACTTTAATATTATCAGTAAAATAGGTAATATTCGCTTCCACTTACGAGAGATAGTCGATTATTTCAGATAGTATTGATTATAATCAATAAGGTAGAAAGGTTAGCAGTGTAGCCTTGTTATCACAATAAAAACCGTAATATTCGTAGTATTATTGCATGACAAGGCGTTGATTCAATTTATTCTGAAGGAAACGGGTGTCCAGTTAGAAGATGGTGACTTCAAAGTGATCAGAGTTGGTAGACCACAAAATATAGAACGAGATAGACCTCTGAAGGTGATTCTTCCTGAATTCAGTCTAGTTTTGGACATACTCAAGAAAAAGAGACATCTTTTTGAAAAAGGGCATCGTATATCATCTGATCTTACTCAGCTTCAGAGAGATAAATTGAATCATGTTCTCAATGAATTGAAAACCAGAAAAGAAAATGGGGAAAATGACCTAATCATAAAATATATTAAAGGTGTTCCTAAAATCGTTCAGACTTCAAAAAAGTAGAAAATTCTTTATCCGGCTATTATCAAAATGTAGGTGGTATGAAAATATATTTCAATGAGTTCCAAAATTTAACCATTCAAATTTCTTATGACATTGGCTAGATGAAGATGTATCCATTATAGAAACCCAAATTCCAGGCTAAAACTTATTTAGATTGGATCTTTCTCCTCTCACTAACGTTAAATCAAGAGGTGGTGGTGTACTGATCGCTACTAGGGAGTCATTTAATGTTCGGCGCCTCAATACTGAAAATAATATAGCGGAACAAATTTTTGTTGAGATCAATCATGGAAAAGCTAATTTCATTGTTTGCTGTGTTTACATTCCACCCTGTTCAAGCGACGAAGTGTACATGAACCATTACGTTGAAGTTGATCGCCTTGTACAGATATATCCTCATCATAAAGTTGTTATCTTCGGTGACTACAATTTACCAGAAGCAGAATGGATGAATGAATGGGAACTTGGGTGTAGTTGTCAAGTCTCCAGAGAATTCTAAAGTAGTGCCATTGTGTGAGAGTTTCTGTTGCTTAAATTTTTTTCAAATTGTCTTTTTTGAACTATGAAGAACTCATTTTCGACTTCAGAAAAGCAGATATCAGGGCTATCATAACTACTTTGCTTGTATTGACTAGGATAACTATTTGAGTAAAACAGATACCAACTTAGCTTTGGAACAATTTTACGATATAATTTATTCAGCTATGACTCTATTTATACCTGTTAAACTTAGAAAAAAAGTCTAGTTAACCTTCTTGGTATACTTTTGAACTGAAACTCTGTATATTTGAAAAAAAGAAACCTCATAAGTTGTTCAAAATAACTAATGGTGACAGAAATTACATGCAATTTTCTGAATTGAGATCCAAATGTAAAATTTTAACAAAACAATGCTATACAGAATATTTATCGAAAATCGAAAACAATATCATTAATGATTCATGTACCTTTTGAAAATATGCCAGTTTGAAAAATAATCCATTTTCAGTATCTTATAATGATGAAGTGAGCAATAATGGTATCGATATTGTGAATCTTTTTGCTAAATTTTTTGCATCTGTGTATGTTGAGTTCGACCACCAAACAATAACTAAGCCAATTTTGAATGCACTCAATCTCAACAAATGTCATGTTAGTTTAGTTGAAGTTTTTAATGAAATGAGTAAGCTCAAAAATAGTTTCAGTTCTGGACCAGATGGTGTTCCATCATGTTTACTCAAGAGATGTGTTTGTACCTTGAGTACCCCAATATACCTTTTATTTAAATTATCTTTGGATTCTGGTGAGTTTCCTGTGTTTTGGAAAAACAGTTTATCAAACCCATTCACAAATCAGGGTATAGATGTAATGTAAAAAATTATAGAAGTATAAGTATTCCATCAGTCATTTCCAAAATATTTTATTGTCTTGTAACAAAACAACTTTCTTGGCATTGCTCCAGCAGTCTAACTAATCAACAACACAGCTTTTCAAAAGGTAAGTACTCAGAGACGAATTTATTATTATAGCAGGATATATTGGATGCATTTGAGAAGCGGGGTCAGGTCCATTCAATATATACAGATTTATCAAAGACCTTTGATAGGGTCAACCATAATATATTTCTAAATAAACTTGAGTCTTTTGGATTGAACGGTACTATACTATCGTAGGTTGAAAGCTTTTTGAAAGAGTGAATTCAGTGGGTAAAAATTAACAATTATATTTCTCATACAATTAATGTTTCGTCTGGGGTTCCTCAAGGCAGTCATTGTGGACCATTGTTGTTTAATATTTTTGTCAATGATCTTGTTGACGAAATAACCGATTCTAAAGGATTACTGTTTGCCGATGACTTCAGGTTATATCGCTCAATCTAATCTGTAGATGATTGTCTAATACTTCAAAATGATTTAAATATTTTTATGAATGGTGTAAGAATAATTGTTTGGATCTCAATCTCAGTAAATGTCGATTCATTTGTTTCAATTGCACGCAGTCACCTATTACCTACCAATACTGCATAAACTCCCTCCCAATCAAAATTGTAAATGAAGTCAAAGATCTTGGTGTTACAAGATCTTGGTGTTACATTCGATACTAAACTATCATTTTTTTCGCATATTACTAAAATCACACTGAAATCTTACAAACTTCTACGTTATGTATCCAGGTTAGGCAAGGATTTTTCAGCTAATACTTTGAAAATTCTTTTCTGTTCCTTAGTGAGATCAAATTTGGAATACGCCTCTATTGGAGTCCTTATTCAATTCATAAACTGTCACTAGAAAGAATTCAGAATACATTTTTTAAAACTGCCGCTTTTAAATTAGGAATGCAAGTATGTCTTTACCATAACAGTGACGTACGATCTATTCTTCATTTAACTCCTTTGGAAAATGGGCGTATTCAAATTTATTTACTTTTTTTACATAAAATATTGTCAGGGCACTTTTATTGTCCTGAACTACTCAGTTTGATTAATTTTAAGGTGAAGCAATGTGAAACAAGGGATGATACATCTGTCTTCATGGTGAACAGGCACGTGACAAACTATGGACACTATAGTCCTCTATCAAGAATTCTGAAAGAGGCTAACGAGTTAGGTCTCAATTTTTTCCATAACTCTTTGGAAGTATTTAAACAGGAGGCCAAGGATTTATGTATTTTCTATTTAATTATGTTTTTACTATGTTGGTTGTTAATGCGATTATATATCAGTTACTTGGTTTTTAGTGTGTAGGGTATTAATTATATAATTTTGTATTCAATCATTGTAATACAGGGGTTTCCCGTTTATACTGAATAAATAAATAAATAAATGAAATATTCCACATCTGTATATGTCAAAATTAATATACATTTTTTATTATGGATCTTAATGATTCATTTTATAATTCCTTAGGAATAGTACCATCAGGAATGATTTAGTCTTTCTTAGATAAATCTGACATTTAGTAATATAATCTATCATTTAACGATGTTTTGAAACTTCCTAAGTTTTTTTCATAAGCCTTATGATTATCCTTCTTGAAAGGCAGAATTTGAACATCTGGCGTAGACTTGAAAAAAAACTTTCAATATAGCAGACAACACTATTCTTGACCACGAATATGAAATATAATCAGTATAAGGAACCCCTGATTTGAGAAACGCACGTCGAAAAGAGTTCTGGTCTGTGGTGACTGATTAAAAAGACAAAAATGTGAAAATCATTCATTCAACTCTAGGACGATAATATAGGACCGGTTTTCTACAGTAGACATATATCTCCGGCTAATTAAAGTGACATCAATGAGATATTAAAAAGGAAAGCAGACAATGTGGCGTCACAAAGAAACACTATGATATATATCACAAAGTAAAGATGAGCTTTATTTATCGTGTTCTTCTATTTTTCCTAGGGCAGGGGTCGGCAACTTGCGGCTCGCGAAAATCATGCAGCTCGCGAAACACATGCGGCTCTTTGGATGTGAAGCTGCGGTTCTTAACTTCAATACGCAAATATTATTTATTTTATATAAAAAAAAAACATTTAAAAATCGTTCTGAATCGATTAACGAGGATTAGGCACCATTTCTATCTCTCAGCCACTTGTACTTGATTTCCACCGCACTCCTCCTTTCCCTGTGACACGCGTCGTCACTGTAAAAATAATAATTATAAGTGTAAGTACCTACAAATCATTATTTAATAAACCTATTCTCAAAATATGAGGATCAAAGTAGGTAGGTATTTGCAGATTTAGATTGTTTATATGTTTCGCAATTTTCATTGATTTTAGCATAGCTTGGCATAACACCTTTATTCATAATGTATCTAGTCAATCAGTATATGAGAGAGTGAGAGAAAGTGTAAAATGTTTTCTGATAGATTATATTTCATAATGCCCAGCTTCTCGTATGTATTTACATAGGTATAAGTTTACTTATTGAATAATTGCAAAACTTGTCATCTGCTGTTTTGGATACCTTTTGGATACCATTTTACAGCGAAGAACGAAAAAATGCTGTCGACGAGCTCCAAAAACAAAAATAGCAATCAAATTCCATGTTAAGTAACTGAAAACAATCTACAAGGAATGTTTATCTGTTTGGCGATTTCAGAAACAAACCAGCAATCTTGAAAGAAATTAAAGATTTGCCACTATCCGCTAAAACAGTACAAGATAGAATAGCTAAAATGTTTTGCAGGTGGAAGACATTCACCTGGCTTCTGCCTTATCACTTCTATAGATGAGTCTTGCAACATAAAAGACACGGCACAAGTTGCCCTTTTTGTCAGGTATATGTTTTCCCAAAGTTCATAAGAAGAACTTCTAGGATTACTACCGCCCTAGGGACAAGCTTGAGGGGAAGATATAGCGAATGCAGTACAAAAATACCTCTAAAATAATAAGATCGATTCAAATAAAATCGTTTCAATAGCAACTGAAGGAGCCAGAAGTATGACAGGAAAAAGTAATGGGATAACAACGATTCTTCAGCCACAAAATTCTTACTTTTCACTGCATAATACACCAAGAAGCGCTTTGTACCCAAACAGCTTTAAAAGAAATGTCGCGAGTCGAGGCACTCATATTCGACGCACGTGAGATGAAGAAGTAGGCATTTGGAGTGCTGACTATCTTTGGATCGACATATTTGTGCGAGCAAGCGTTCTCTTGCATCCATATAATTAAAAGTAAAGTAAGAAGCCAACTACCAAATGAACATTTTAAGTCGTGTTTGAAAATATATGAGACAAATTATAACCCTTCTGAAACCATCCAAAGCCAACGCTTCCATTGAATTAGTTTGATCAATTGTTTATTATTGAAGTACAAGTTCGGCGAGACCATTAGGTTCAGGGTCACCAGAGGCTGCCCTCAAGGTGGGGTACTATCTTCCCTTCTGTGGTCGCTCCTTACGGATAGTCTGCTTGAAGCCCTCGACAGAAGGAAAGGAGATCTGCAAGCTTATGCAGATGACCTTGTCATCTTGGCAAGGTCCACGTCCGGAAAGGTAGCTTATAATATCTTCCAAAGCGTTGTTCACAGTTGGTGCCTGGGGGAGCAAATGTCTGTCAACCCCAGCAAAACTGTGATAATCTCCTTCAGTAGGAGGAGAAAATTGGACGATATAACGCCACTTTCCCTCAATGGTGAGGTCATTCCATTTGGAACGGAGGTAAAATATCATGGCATTGTCCTTGATAAAAAACTCACCTGGCACGCTCACTTGAAAAAAGTTTTACACAAAGCCAGACTGTCCCTATGGACATGTCGAAGAATTTGTGGTAAAACTTGGGGTTTAGGTCCCAACCAACTGCATTGGGTTAATGCGATGATTGTTAGACCAATGATCACTTATAGTTGCCTGGTGGTCGAAGGCTTTACAGAAAACGGCCCAGGCAAAGCTCTCTGGCTTACAGAGACAGGCTTGTCAGGCCATCAGTGGTGCCATCGATACCACACCCTCAGCGGCCATGGAGATCTACCTCCTCTCCACATTTTTCTGGAGAGAGAGACTAGATGGACTGCATATAGACTTGTCACACTGCTAATTGCACAAATCAATTTAATGCAGAATGCAACAGACTGTTGGTTGACACTGGAAGTCATAGCATTCTGGAAATGACCTCCGAGTTTATGCCCCCAACTGTCAACTACGAACTGCCTTATAAAGTACTGTTCCCGAGTAGAGAGGACTGGATCCTCCGGGAGGAGAAAATATTAAGAACAAATAGTTGTTCGTTCACAGATGGATCAAAAACACCTTTCGGTTCTGGGGCAGGTGTTTTCAGTTGCAGACCTAGGACAGAGATATCAACCTGCCTAGGAACCTATGCGACAGTATTTCAAGCGGAAATGTATGCTGTTGAATTATGTGCGGAGTGATTGGACGAATCCAACCTTCATACACAAGTCAATAAAAATATTCTCGGACAGTCAAGCGGCGTTGGAAGCTCTTGGCTCCTAATGTGCAACGTCTAAATTGGTAGCAAATTGCCAAAAACGACTCTTCTCGATAGGAAGACTTAACAGATTGTCTCTGGTCTGGATTTCTGGTCTTACTGGCCTGGAAGGCAATGAGGCTGCTGAAAGCAACTTCATCGGACCAGAAGCTGTCATTAGCATCGCTTCAGGCTTTCCCAAACAAAGATTGAACAACTGGATGGCAAGGAGATTCATCGACTTCTGGCAGATTCTGTTGGAATTGTTCATGACATTATTTTGATGTTTTCTGATTTGTTTTGTATAGTTACAAAACTGGATAAAATAGTTTGTATCCAGTTGTTCAGTTGTTAAAATATTAATAAAAGTAATTACTAGAAAAGTCAAAACCTATTTTTAAAAGATTAAATAATAAGAATCCATCCCATTTACAACATTTGGCGACCGTGACAGGACATAAAAGATGGATAGTTTGAAGAAAAATAGGCAGCAATTGAGGAAACTTTTCAAAAAATCTGTTGAAGCGCTTGATGGAGCTTTGAAGCTGAAAGATTCAACTAAAGAGGATTTACTATTTTTACTGAGACAATTGGAGGATAAGAGTAGCAGATTATTCGAGGCAGATGAAGGAGTTAAAGAAAAATTGTCATTAGAAATCAGCGATGATATTGAATTAGAAGAGGAGTACGATGAGGTAGAATATTACAGAGACGAGCTGATAAAATATAAACTATAGACCCAAATGCGAATTCCGATTGAACGAGATTACGAAGACCCAAGAAGATCATTTGAGCTGTTCCAATTTCTCTATTACGGAGAAAATTTCATTTACCAAGACTAGAACTGAAGAAATTCAATGGGAACGTGAAGAACTGGATTGGGTTCTGGGGACAATTCAAGAAGATTCACAACGACCCAGAAATAGATAATGAAGACAAATTTCAGTATCTTTTACAACGACGGAAAGTGGTTCAGTTGCCAGAGCTTTAGTAGAAAGTTACCCCCCGTCTGGGCCCAATTACATTAAAGCCATTGACCAGTTGAAGACTCGTTTTGCCAGGGACGAATTCCTAATCGAAGTTTACGTAAGGGAACTATTACAACTTGTACTGCAACAAGCTTCAAAAGCTAAAACAGGTATGTCTCTTTCCAATCTCTATGATAAACTTGAAACCCAGTTAAGAGCTTTGGAATCCCTAGGAGTTACCAACGAAAAATATGCGGCTATGCTTTTCCCTCTTAGTAATTAGGTAGTAATTATTTGAATATGTTATTAGGTTTTTTGAAAATGGAGGTTGAGTCAGAAGAACGGATGAATTTGGCACAAAAAAGATTTGTAAAAGGACACGAGCACAACAAATATCATGCCAGTAAGGATAATTATTTTCCAAAACAAGGTGAACCCGAATTATACACAACAACTGCTTTGTACAGAGCTGATCCCAAAGATTATCTAAAAGATAAGGGAAATAATTGTTTATTCTACCATTTGAATTCACATGCAAGTAAGGATTGCTTGAAAGCTCAACGTCTTTCAATTGTTGAAAGAAAATCTAGAATAATGAAAAAACGTGGATGTTTTTCTTGTTTAAAATTGAATCACATTAGTAAGAATTGTCGAGCTGTAATTAGGTGTTTGATATGTTCAAAGAAACATTACCCCATTTTATGTCCTGATTTGCATGTGAAGAAAGGTATCACTGATCAAGATGATAAAAATCCAAACAATAAGGTTGAAAATACTTTAACTAACAATTTTTCGAACGAAACTTCATTGCAAACGGTTGTTGTTAAAATTGTCAATAATGACAAACAAAAATTGATTAGAACGTTACTTGATTCAGGATCGCAAATATCATATATTTCACGTCAATGTGCAGCTGAATTACGATTGTATAGTATTCGTCGGGAAAATATTGTACAAAGTGTTTTTGGAGGGTTTCAGTCAGAACCAAAAATACATGATGTGTATAATATTATTATTCAAAATCCAAATAATACGTTTGAAACAGAGGTGAATATGGTGGAACAAGTGAAAATATGTAATAACCTACCTCGTTTGACTGATTTATCCGTTATAGACTATTTGAAACATAAAAATATAATTTTGAGTGATACTAGAAACTTTGATGTTTCAAATGAAATACAATTATTATTAGGAGCCGATGTTTTTGGTCAGCTTTTGACAGGGGAAATCAAAAATTTGATGAATGGCTACGTTGCTCTCGAAACTTATTTAGGTTGGACAATAATGGGTCAGAGAGTAAGTGAATGTTCGACATATTCTACTATATTTGCCAGTTTTACTGAGTTTTCTATTGCAGATCTATGGAATTTGGATGTGATATGAATAAAAGATGTTGAGCATTTCAAAACCAAAGATGAACATGAAGAAGTTTTAAAGAAGTTTAATCAAACGATAGCTTGGAAGGAGAACGGATATATGAAGTTCATCTACCCTTGATTGAAGGTCAAGCTATCAAACGATAGCTTGGAAGGAGGACAGATATACGAAGTTCATCTACCCTGGATTGAAGGTCATCCGGAAATAATGAGAAATGAAGAAATGGCCAATTCTCGGTTGATGTCTACTGCAAAGAAGTTAAGGAATACAGATAAATTACAAGAATACGAAACAGTTCTTCATGACTGGGAAACACTGGCAATCATTGAGGAAGTAAAACAAGCGGAGGAGGAAAAACTACACTATTTACCACATCACGCTGTCATTAAAGAAGTCAGTATGACCACAAAGTATGAAAATATATATGTTTTGAGATTGATTTGGAATTTTAATAATAATGAACTTTCGTGTGATGTAAATACACTCATTCAATTAGAAAGCCTCCAAGAACAAAAAGGGGAATACTATCAGTAGCACATAGAGTATTTGATCCGATAGGTTTCACATGCCCAGTAATACTTATTCCAAAATTATTATTAAAAGAAACTTGGAATCTTAAAGTTGGTTGGGATGAAGTTTTGCCAAGTGATATTGTAAATCCTTTCGATGTGTGGTTGAAACAAATACATTTTCTCAGTCTGTGTGAAATTCCAAGATCACTCAGTAGTGGCCAAAGAGTAGATTATGACCATGCAACGATTCATGTGTTTTCGGATGCTAGTAAATCTGCTTATGCTTGCAGCGTATTTCTAAGAAACGTTGTGGAATGAAGAGTGTTTGTTGAACTTGTTGAGGCAAAATCAAGAATAGCTCCCAAAAATATAACCCTACCTGAGAACATTTTTTTTAAAGTAACATACAAGTAGAAAACATCACCTTAAAACTAAAATACCCTACTTATCTAATCTAAAAATTCATTCAATGAATAAAAACATTGTTCAAATAAAAAAACTCTTCAAAGTTCTCTTAAACATCATACAATTATGTTCTTCCCTCAAATGATCGGGCAGTTTGTCGAATATATTTATTCCAATGTATTCTGGTGCAAATGAAGTCACTCTTACTCTTGAAATGTGTTTTGTTTTTGAATATGTAAATGCATATAAACTGATATAAGTGTCAAGATGTGATAATTTTTGAAAATTTGTCTGCAAGATTCTCTTCTTGAGACATTTGCAATACACCGTATAATGCGTTTTTGAGCAATGAATACATTATGAGTCATGGATGACCCACCCCAGAAGCAGACACCATTCTGCTTCTGAGGATTTCTTGATGGCATTCAGACGATTCGTGGCGAGAAAAGGAAATATTTCTGTAATATATTCGGATAACTGTGGAAATTTTGTAGATACTTGGAATTTGTTGCAGAAAATTTCGGGGAAAGATATTGAAGAATATTCGACAACTAGGAAAATTAAATGGATTTTCAAGGCTCCAACCGCTCCTTGGTGGGAAGGATGTTGGAAGCGAATAGTCAGAATTATAAAGGAACTATTGCGTCGTAATTTGAGAAAATCGTCGTTGAATTATGAAGAACTCATGACTGTTTTGTGTGACTGTGAAGCACATATATCTCAAGTAGCGAAGAGGATCTGATTCCATTAACACCTTTGATGTTTATTAGTTCACACTCAAGCACCGACACTTCCGAGTTGGATAAGGTTGACAGAGGTCATCTACTGAAAAGGTACAAGTATTTGCAAAAACTTCGAGAGGGCCTTCGTAGAGTTCGGCAGAGCCGTTCTCTTACCATCTGACCTGAAAGACCACTCACCATACAAACTAATCGGCTTCGTTAAGAAGCTGGGTTTATTTGATCGAGTGTGAATAGGTGTGAGCCACAATGAACCCTTGCGAATTGCGGTGGGGGGTCGAATAGACCCACTTTGGACCTAACCTAACAAGTTCGTATTGAAAATAATTGTTTAGTTGTTTAAATGTTTTACTCAAATAATAAGTTATTATCTAATAATATCATATACTCGTATTATCTAATTCATTGTGAAAAAACACTACTTATATATGAAAATAGATACTTTCTTATGAATAAATATATTAGTTTGGTGTCACTATTTTTCGGGTTTGAAGGCCGTGAATTTCCGAAATTTCTCCATGACGTTTCGCTGGCGCGAGTGGCTAGCTTCTTAAGAGGTTTATACACCACGAGTTAATTTTTCCCATGACTGGATATTATGACTGTGTAACGCATAATTATGTTGACTCCTCAGGTAGTCCGGTGTAATAATACATGTACCTGGATTGTGTAAATTGCCAATAACATTCGTTGTCCCTTTTCTTCCTGCCGTCACGCTGTTTGTCATTGACAATTTACACAAACCAGGTACAGGTATTATCACACCAGAGTATCTGAATGAACATAAACACGCTTTACAAAATTTACCTAAGTCAGATACAGGTATTAGCACACCAAACTACCTGAGGAGTCAACAAAAATGCACTAGCCACTCGGGCCAGCGAAACGTCAGGAAGAATTCCGAAAATCCACCTCTTCAAATCCGAAAAATAGTGACATTAAAAACCTCTGCCACGAAAGCCTTAACCATTTTGTCAATAAATTGATTTAGTCTTTCGCGGCCGAGATTTTCATTGTTACGTACTTCATTCGGGTTCGAAGGCCGTCGTGGTTTGGAACTGTATCCTAACGTTTCGCCAGCACGAGTGGCTGGTTTCTTCATCTTGATGGTTCACCGATGACTAGTGATTTCTAAGTTCGTAAGTTGTATTTATGTTCACTCAGGTAGCCCGCCTTTCTTGTTGATGCGTTGCTATTGGCCGAAGTGTTATTACCTGTTGATGACGTTACATTGCATTTCACTGTTGCCACCTCAGCATCTTTCAATATGGGATTCCAAATCCGGTTGAGCGTTATCGCCTCCTCTTTTCGGTTGCAGTTTTCCGTATGTTTATGGATTTCTATAGCTTCCCATACAAGCCGACTGTGGGTTGGGTGCAAGTAGTTTCACATCTTCAAACAGTATCGTATGATCTCTTTCACTAAACGCCTGTTTGACCTAATCTACAGTTTCTCCGATGTTCATTCAGCCTTATACCCATGGATCTTTTGGTGGAACCGATATAAACTTTTGTGCAAGTGCATGGTATACGATATACCCCCGAAGCTGATAGTGGGTCTCTTTTGTCTTTCGCAGATCAGAACAGAACATCGGCTTTGCCAATGTATTAGTTTTTTTTCAACCAAAAACTTTATTTATGCAAATACTATTCATTGTTGGCAAAAACAATTTTTGTAGCTGTTTAAAAACTTTTAAATTTTGTAATTGTAATTTTTTACTCTTCCGACTTGAAAGGTTGCCGACCGACCTCTGTCCTATTGCACAAATTGGTAAAATTTCTCGTAACCAAAATTAAAATGTGATCATAAAAAAATAAAAACGGAAAAATGATGTTAGAAAAAGAAAATTTCTAATAATGCATACAAAATTTCATATACATTGTGGTTATTCTGAAAGATTCGTCAATTTCCACGGTGTACGATTGACGATGGATTGGGCACATTGAATTTGACGTAAATTGTTCTGTGACTGTTTTTATAGATATGCAGAGTGACACACTTTAGATGAAGACACCCCTGTATTTTAGTCATTTTTGGAAGCAGATATTTAATTTTGGTGCATGCGTAGACCTTCATGGGCCGCACTTTTCGCAATACTTAGCCCAACCCTACTGCGATCCGCGAAAAGGGTAAATTCTCGATATTTTGCTTCGCGTTGGAGATACCGAAATAAGGTATTTGAGAGAGTTGTTAAGAAATCGATTTTGACCCTACATACTGAATTTCAACCCAAAATTCGGAACCTTAATTTTTTTTGTAATTTTCATAATTCAAGTACGATTTTAAATTAATGGTTCCGAATATCATATAAAAATCTATGAAATAAATGTACTGCTATAACTAAAATTGAAAATTATTATTTTATCAAATGTAGGTTGATCAAGTTTAGTCTCTTTACTAGCCTGTCTCGGCATTAATTGAAAATCGGACTTGAATATGAGAATTACAAAAAAAAATCGAATTTTCTTCAAGCCCGTTCAGTTAGATTAGAGTACTCTAGAGAATAGATGAATAGTATGTGAACCAGAGCATCTAGAGGAAGAACTGGAGAGTCTTCAAATGCCCTTGAGATCGAATGGATACAGTGTATCCGAAATCAACAAGGCCATGAAACTGAAGAGTTCCACGGTTCAACACGGAGGGAGGCTCAGATTTGCACGTGCCTATCTACCATATATTCCTAGGGTCACAGACAGAATTAGAAAAACTCTTGGGGAAACACAAAATTGAAACGGTTTTCAAACCCACCAAGAAGATACAACAAAGTCTCAGGTCGGCCAGAGACAAGAGAGACCCAATATCAGCAGCAGTGGTTTATCGCATAGCGAGCACTTGTGGGAAGGTATTCATCGGAACCACCAAAACATCCATGGGAACAAGGCTGAAGAAGCACAGAAGAAACTGCAGACTAGGCGAAACGGACAAGTCTGCTGTGGCGGAGCACGCACTCAGTGAAGGAAACCACAGGATTCTGTTTGAAAATACGAAACTCATTGCCTTCAGCCAGGGATACGCTATGGTATGCCTGGCTGGTACGGGAGGCAACAGAAAAGAAGAAGTTGTGAACCTTAATCGAATTTGGAATTACTTCAAGTTCGAGAATAGAAAACATGACGCTAGGTAGAAAAGGGTTGACGATTGTTATTGACAATTTACCTAATCCAGGTACAAGTATTAGCACACCAAACTACCTGAATCAACATAAATACGCTTTACACAGCCGTAATATCCAGTCATCAAAGATGAAAATCAACACCCTTCAAACACGGAAAATAGTGACACTGAAAGCCTCAACCATTTTATCATGTCGAAATTTTTACTACTGGTTTCTGGAATATATTACCTCTCAGTACCTTCCTATGAGCTTTGAGAGATATATTCTTTGATTTTTCGATATCGTTCAGGTTGATACTCCTGAATTTCGTCCGCAGTTTTCAACTTATTGGTGATCCTGGGCACGTAAGGATAATGGGAGCAGACCTATAATTCATTTTCAGATAGGGAGGAATAAGAGGGAACAACTTGCTTTGGATCCGCGGCGAACTTACAAGATTGGCACCAATCCATGTCGGATAGGCCTTCGTAAAGCCTCATCGGCGCGGGGCCCAGAGCCGGCGCTGATTGGAAAAAATTGGATTGCATTCGACTAAGAAAAACTTGACTGGAAGTATTTCAGGAGGTTGTGATATCAACACATTTCAAATACTTTTTTATGCGGTTCAGGAGCATTCTTTTTTTAACAAAAATGTAATATTTTCCAATATTATATGAGCATTGACTAACAAAAAGTATGAACAAGTTTTCAATATATCTGGAAATAAATAAAATACAGCAAAGAAAAATTTTAAATTTTAGGTTTTGCCCGTATATCTCCTGAAATGCGAGAGCAAGAATTGAATTTTTGGTGTCATTCAAGTACAGATTATACATTCTAATATACACAGAAAGCACACATAATGAAATATGATACTTGGCTTGGAATTGTTATTCTCAGCTTTTTTTTTTAATTCTTCTTTTTTATTAGGTCTTCCAGGGATTTCAAATCATTTTATGTAGTATCAGACAATGGAAGTCTGAACTAATGTAATTCATATTTATTATTATTCTTATTCTTTTGAATCTACATACACAGTTTAAATTGCATACTTATTTTTTTGTTTCTATTCATTTTGCATAATGATTATCTTAAGTATGAATTGACATGTTCGGCACGATGTAGTTGATTTATGAACAAATACACATCTTTCTTTCAAAGAACTAATTAGGACATCTATGCATTTGGTATATTATAGGCATACGTTTTCAATAATTTTTTCATTACAGAGAGCCTCACCATAATTTTAGAATAATTAGGTTTAAGAAAACAATTAGAATATTGAAAAAACTGGTATTACAGGGAACAAAACATGGAGAGTGGCCTCGAAGAAAGTTTAAAAGCTCAAACAGTGGGAATTTATTATGTATGTTAACTTATATAAGGAAATGATCGAAATAATGAACTCTAATGGGAATATTTTTAGTTGAGAGTCATAAGTTGGTAGTATAAATTCGTGTACATTACCCAAAAAGGGTTTTGAAAGCTCTGTGTCCGATAAAATGTAGGAAGATACTGCAAATGAGAACTTAAAATATTTGAGAAATTGAGAAATATTTTAAAATATAAATTGCATTTGAATTATTTTTTGCTTCAGACAACCTCAACAATTTTCCAGGATGTGGTTTTCACATCAAACAGTTTGATTTTTCATTCACCAAAGTTGAAATAGAGTTGTTTCTGTTTCATTCCACATTGTGGGTATCATCATAAACGATCTATTATACCCATTTAGATATTTTGAAAGCCAGATTTCATGATGAATGAGATCGTCCAAAAAATAATTTTTGAAGCATGTGATGAATCAAGACAAACACATATATTTATCCGTACACAAACATTCGACGTTTCGGCTCTGATTTTGGAGCCATTTTCAAGAAAATGATGTTACTTGACGCCGGGTCATCAATCTGCCTACTCTCTAGATTTCGTCACGAGTTCTCTCTGAGGTGTTCGGTGGTATTTATTTCGGCGGGAGCTACTGAAATAGAAATGTGGGGGCGGGGCTTCGGGTGACTAGCATCACCGGACGTTCTAGTGGGGGTGGATATCGGGAAATTAGGGGTTTACAGGTAGTTGGAAGTCTCTAACCGTCATCACGTTTCTTCAAGCAGGAAGGTCGCTCCACGACAACGCCCGTCCGCACGTTTCACCGTCCAAAATTAAACGAATTAAGCGTCGAATTTCGGCCTCACCAAACATACTTTCCAGACCTCTCGCCAACTGACTAACATCTTTTCAAGCACTTCGATAACTTTCTCATCGATAGAACCTTTGCCAATCAGGACCAAACAAAAAAGGCCTTTGTCAATCTCATCGAATCCCAAGCATAAAATTCTCATGCTGATTGAATGAATCAACTTGTGTTGGCAAAAGTGCATTGATTCAAATGGCGCTTATTTCTATTAAATTGAATAAGTATTCACTAAGATATTACATTTCAAAGTAGCCTCATTAAAACTTTTGAAACAACCCAATTAGGGCTTCATTGTTTTTCAGATATGATGTAAATTCATACAATTCACCTAAATCAGAGAATAGTTTCAGCAATCATAAAAATCTGTAAAAGCCAAGGACTTGGCAAAACAAACATGAATCTTGTTTCAGAAATTAGTCACAAACTTCGGCAGCAGACGTGTTGAATCAGTCTTGAGAGCATCCGTGATTTCAGTGTTCAAAACGAAAAACATCATAAACATTCGAAGAAAAGAAGGAGCATAAAGAGTTAATTTTTGTAATTCAAGTAATTCTTTGTATCAATTCAGAATTTTACTGATACTCCAAAAAAGGTATTCTTCCAATAATAAAGCATGCTCTTATAATAATAATAATACGTAAATTTACTTACCCGTGGCCTTCTAGACAACATATCAACTTTCAACTTGTGCTCAGCTATCAACCTCCTGATACGGCTACCTCTACAATGAGCTTGAAAAATGACTATACTAGATTTTAATTTTTGAATCCAACATCTACACCTATAGCCTCGATAATATTTTTGTATCCTGACAACAGCTTGCAATTTCTTCAAAGATTTCTGAACAAGGTACATGCTGAAAACATACAATATTTTCATTTTCTACTTCACTCATTAAAAATGTATAACTTACCGACAGTAGCTTTGAAGAGTAATGACTGCAGATCTTATTCTTAAAAACCTTCTCCGTTCTAAACAAGCTCGAAACCACCTTTGCAACGTTACAATGCTCGCCATGATCTGCTGATGAAGCTTACAATCTAGCTTATATTTTTCACTTTCACGCATGAAAACTTTTGTGCTTCCCAGTTGGTAATTATCACGATTCAAATTAAGAGTTGACAGAAAATCCCGAACATCAATTTGTGAACTGAGAAGACCCTTCGGTAAAAGTATCCTATAGAGCTGTATAAATTCATCATAAGTCAACCGGACATTGAAACCTGCTTGACGAATACGGACAGTTTCAAGCATACCGGTGTAACGTAATTGTCTTTGGACAGTTACTTCATCAAAGGTATTCGGTATTTTGTTACCTGAAACAATGGAAAAAAATAGTTATAGAGGAAAAAACTGGGACATAAGCTCAGGTAATTTAATTCATTACAAACTCATGTAAAACTCAGTGAAATGTAGGTACTTCAAATTGTAAAATTAGGTATATAAAGCATTGGATAGTCATAGTCATAGATCTTTATTTGCTCCAGTTACATATAATGTACATATATAAACTCCGAGGAGTGTGGAACATGTCAGTAGTAAATAACAACTAAATAACAAATCAAAGTTTTACATTCATAATCAATATTATCTCACGAGTAGTTTTAAGACACAAAAAAAACAATATATACAAAAATCAGGCATATGTAAATATCATTCATATAGTTAGCATACTATCATTTAAGAATTCCTGCAAGCTATAATAAGGTTTTTCTACGAGATAGCTCTTCAAACGACATTTCATTGTTGAAATTGGAAGATTTCCTAGAGTGAGTGGAAATTTATTGTAAATGTTTATAACGCTATATTTGAAATTTCTCTGTATGTATGTATAGTTGCATTTCTCGTTTCTAAGATCATTCTTTGTTCTGGTGTTGTATAAGTGATCCTTTTCACAGTTAATGAAAAGTTCTGATTTGTTTTCTGTTACAAATACTATTGCTTCATATATATAGAGATTTATCAAAGTTAAAATTTTGCTCCTCATAAAAGCTTCTCTGCAGCTATCGGTTTTTTTCATCTTATAGATATACCTAATACATTTTTTTGTAGTATGAGTATCCTAGAGATACCAACAGAGTTTCCCCAGAATATTATTCCATATTTTATTCTAGATTGAATATAAGCATGGTATGCAGAGAGGGCAGCTTCAGTTGAGACATGTTCCGACAGTATTCTCAATGCATAGCAATATTTTGCAATATTTTTTGATAAGTAGTCTATGTGATTTTTCCAGTCCAGTCCAGTCTCCTATCTATCAAGAGTCCCAAAAATTTTACCTGATTGCATATGTTTATATTTTGATTATTATATTCAAAGGTATTCAACTCTGGCGAGGATCTATTTGCGAAATGAATTATTTGAGTTTTGTCAATATCAAGTAGTAAGTCATTTGCTGTGAGGAAATTGTTCAATACATCTAGTACATTTGTTATCTTTGTCATGACCAACTGAGAGTTCTTGTCTTTTATGATGACCGATATATCATCAGTATATAATACAATATCTTCATTAACTACATTTGGTATTTCATTTGTGTACAATATATATAATAATGGACCTCGGATGGATCCCTGTGGCACACCTTTTTTTATCACAATTGATTCTGATTTAATTATCCCTGAGATGTCATTTTCAATCAAATGTTGGGTTCTGTTTGTCAAATAGGATTTGATTAAGTCCAAAGATGTGCCTTTGATTCCATATTTATCAAGTTTGTTGCATAAAATTTCATGGCTGACACTGTCAAATGCTTTTGACAGGTCAATACACAAAGTTACAGTACAATCATCTTTGTTCAAATGGTGTAAAATGTTTTTCTATGGCTTGATATATTGCTTGTACGGTTGATTTACCTTTACGGAATCCATTTTGTTCTTTTGCTTGAGTAAACGTTTATTCATGAGCTTTTCAAAAATTTTACTGGGATTTGGCAATAATGATATGGGTCTGTAGTTACTTTCTTCATATCCGTTTCCTTTTTTAAATATAGCTTTAATAGATGCCACTTTCAGTACTTGTGGGAATATTGCTTGTGAGAAACATAAATTTATAATATAAGTCAAAGGATAGGCTATGATCTCTGCTGTTTCTTTCAATAGACACATAGGAATCTGATCTTCACCGACAGATTTTTTATCTTTTAGTTGTCTAATACATTCTATTATTTCAAGCGGAGTGGTAGGTTCAAAGAAAAAAGCATCTTTACATTCTTCTATTTTTGTATAATCTGGGCTATCTGGTTTATTTAGGTCTGGGCAAGCTTCACTAAAATACTTATTGATTTGATTTACTATGGTTTGTGAATCTTTATATTTTTTTGCAAAAATTTCTAGGATATTGTTTTTATGGTAGTTGGGTTTTGTTATTTTTTTGATTGATGACCATGTAGCTTTGGTTTTATTTTCAGCTTTCAGTGTTAGACATTTTTTTAGCAGCTGCAATAACTTTACAGAGAACGGCACAATACTTTTTGAAATACTGAGTACTTATCAGCCCTAGTGTCTTCTTTTTGTATAATGAGCGTTTTCTCGAGCAAGACTTTTTTATACCCCTTGTTATCCATGAATTGAGCCTAGGTTTTTTCAATTTTTTTCCACAAAGATCAGGTTCATTATTCTAGTGAAAATATTCGAAAAACAGTTGTATGCTATATTTACATCTGTACTCTGTGTTACACTTTCCCAATTAACCTCAGCGAGATCCTGTTTAAACTGAATAATTTTATTTTTTGAGAATATTCTTTTTTTGGTCCATTTTATTTCATTTGCTTTAATTTTTTGTGTGAAAAGGGTTATCATTTGTCCATAGTGATCAGATAATGCAGTATTTAAGACCATGCTTTTTTCATAGTCATCAAAATTTACAAAAATGTTATCTAATAGAGTAGATGAAATATTTGTTACTCTGGTTGGTTCAAAAATAGTTTGTGTTATGTTGTGAGTAAGGAGTAAGTAGTTTGTACGTTGTCTTCAAGCAAGTTGATATTAAAGTCTCCACATAGTATAACCTTAAATGTAGTGAATTTTTCATGAACTAAATCAATTATTTCTTCCATGTTCTCAATGAAAATATCGAATGATCCTAAGCCAGTTCTGTAAACACATACAATTACAATTTTCATTTTCCTAATTACTACACTTCCACATTCCAAATGACCTTCAATACTTTTTCTGACAACACTCTCTACGCTCTCCACATCCGATATGTAGAATATAGTTAGTAGACACGCCTGATGAAGCCATCACATGGCGAAACACGTGTTGCATTTTTGTTACACTGTCTAGTGAAAATTTAACAATACGTAATTTATTTCCCGACTATTTATTTTAGTACTGAAATATGTTTCTTCTGTAGTCCCTTTTCTTATTCAATAATGTTGTTAGATTACCATTTTGTTAGGTTTGTAATTTAAAATAATTTTTAACTGGACATAAAACATCAAAACACTGAGTTTCAGTGTATACGTCAAGAAGAGTACTTTGACCACGCCAGATGCAGTTGCAGTTGAAATGTTTGTATAATCAAAAACGACTAAGGCAAAATCCAACCAAAACATTGACGCCAGCCGTGAAAGCCTACATTCCTTTACTTACTTTATTTTATTAACTACCATTAGACTCGTCTCATGTCATTCAAGTGATCTATGGGGATTGTGTTAGGAATCACACGTTAAAAGGTAAGACCTCGTTAATCCTTAGCTCGCACAAGTTTCGACTTCTGAGGGTTGTCGTTCGTAGGGGCGCGACAGCTGGTTAACGGAAAAACAGATTTTAAACAGATTTTTTTTTTGATAATATATCTACTACGACAACGCCATTGGTGTTACTCATAGAATATTAATAGAAAAATTGGACATGTATGGTATAAAAGAAATACTGAAATCTCACAGCAAGTTATAGAGACATACTTGAATAGGAGTGCCATGAAATCTGATGTATTATAAGTAGGAGGGTTCCACAATAAATAAATGAAATCCCAAATGCAATGTGGTCTTATTTACAGTATTTGTGAAAACACTGAGGATCTATGGCATGGAAAAGTCGCTTGTGAGTGGAGAAGCATACGTCCTCTTTTATGTAAAGGATGGAACAAAATCGCACCTTTAAGATAACCGAGGGAAAGTTTCTTTAAGCAAATATTATTTATTTTTTGTTAATTTCTTACATGTACCTGTTTCCATATATTATCATAAAACAAAGTTGTATTTCAACTAAGTAAATTAATAGTGAGTAAGGTTAATAGCAATAAAACAAATCAACAGTACAAAAAAATTTGAAAGTTCGAAATAGTGCACATGTTGGCAAAGCCGTAACTTGTCATCTTGTGACGTCACTCTCTTCTTAACGTGAATATCCTATATTTGTATAGAGTTCATTTTTTGAAATTGATTGCTTCCTTCCTTTCTTTGAAAAAAATTAATTATGGTGCAACTTATATAATGCAAATTAAGTTTTTTGAAGTTTTTCCTGCCTATAAAGTGATGTTGGATAAAAAATACACCAAAACTAAGAAAATTTTTTCAATACATATGGAGAAAAGTAATGCAATTTTTAATGCTTTTCCTTTATAAGAATTTAATGCTTTTATCAGCTTAAGGTGAAATTAATGACTCATTCATCAGTGAAAATATTGAAAACTGTTCCTCTTTCCAACTGCCAGTATCTAGTGTTGATGATTCGAAAGAAACCATTATTTATAATATAACATTTCAGAGAGAAAACGATTTAACTGATATGAAAAATATTGAAAATTCAGTTATGCCATGTGAAAGTTTTAAAATTCTTCAAGAAAATTAATTTAATATTAAAAGTAACAAATGGATTAGACCAAAATATAGTTCTTGTAAAACAAAAGAAGGAGAATTTGTTAATTCTCATAAGGAACTCGAATCCATTACCAATAAGAAAAATAATAAATTATTTTCCGAAAGATGGACATATATTAATGACGATAAAATAAAATCTGCCAATAATGTTAGTTGAATCAATTTCAAACACGAAAGAAATTTTATGAAAAAATGTAAAAGCACAAGATCGATGGATGCAACCGGCAGTATAGTTCGAAATCCAAAAGAATGCCATAAAAAAGTTTTTTATTATGGTGGGTTTATTAAAAGATCATTTAATTGTAGCATTTTTCCAATTCTAGAATTGCATAGCTCTGACCATGATATCTTTTCAATTGGTACATGGTTGGCTACAATCAAGTACAGTAGAATCTCACTAATCCGGCACTTCAATAGACCGATACATCCAATAATCCGCCCCCCTCCGCCGGCACCTCCCTCGCTCCACTACGCCTATGCGTCCATCGT